CCAGAAGGTCGGCGGTTCGAACTCACCAGCCACTCTGCTTCCATAAAGATTACAGCCTAGGAAACCCTATGGGGCAGGTCTACTCTGTTTTATAGGGTCACTTGGAGTTAGGATCGAGTGGACAAAAATGGTTGGTTTGTTGCTGTTAGGAAGAAAACACCATCTAAACCCAACAACAAGACAGACTCCAAGTCCTTTCATTCTTACGGGAACACATTTAGACGTTCATACAAACACCTGCATGGAAGAACCTGGGGCCACAGAAGGGGCTTCCTGTTTTGCTCTGCTTATCTTCGGATTGGGCTGGGAACACGCTCTAGGCAAGGGGTGGGGAGCTGGCCTCCAAGGACACAGTCCCAGAGAAGGACTGGCCACAGGTGGCAAAGTCAATGAACCGTCTTTGAGATCAGCAAAGAGACTAACCCCCTGGGTCACGGCCACACGAGGAACCCATTTCCTGCCCGATGTGCTAACCGAGAACATAATGTGTGAACTCAAGACACACTCGTGGCAGGCAGGGTGCACGCAGGGTTGGGACACCGTATCGGTCTCCTGGGTTACGGAGGAATACACCTAGACTACAGGCCCGAAACAGGCTGTACACCTGGATTTAGGGTGAAGCCTAGAGCACGCATAAGCACAACCGGGCAGGGAGTGCTTAAGCCAAGCATTGAACATGCAAAAATGCTGACCGTGGGAAAAATGAGAGCAGAAGCCCAGGGAGAAATTCCGGCGAGAGCAGAGGTGACGACCGCAACTGACGTGTCTCAGGCTGCAAAATATTCCTCCCACCAAAACCGTTCTCAGGTTGAGAGGAGCCCTATGACGACCCCAGGTGTTGCAAATGGTTTGCGCTCGACTACTAACCGGAGGGTTGGCGGTTCAAAGCCACCCAACGGTGCCGCAGAAGAAAGGCCTGGCAACCTGCTTCCATAAAGACTACAGCCAAGAAAACTCTAAGGAGCAGTTCTACTCTGCAACACACAGGGTCGCCATGAGTCAGAACCGACTCAACAGCAACGGGTTTGATTTTTTGGGTTTAAGCAGGAGGCTGAAATTAGATGTTAAAAATATAAATGAGGAATTCTTAAATATTTGAAAGTTTTCAGGAAGGAATGTAGTGTGTTGAAATGACCTCTTTTCTTCAGTCTGTTTGTCAAAATAAAGGTGCCCCAAATGGATCAAAAGCCATACCTGTGTACCCCTCGATTAGAGACCTTCAACTCTCAACTGAATCTAATAACATAAAATAAACAGATTTTAATACATTGTGTTCCGTAAGAACAAAAGTAAAAACAATTGATCATATCTGATAACTACCAAAAACAAAACAAAACAAAACAAAAAACCATTGCTGCCGAGTCGATTCCGACTCATACTGACCCTATAGGACAGAGCAGAACTGCCCCATAGGGTTTCCAAGGAGCTGCTGGTGGATTCAAACTGTTGACCTTTTGATTAGCAGCCGAGCTCTTAACCACTGCGGCACGAGGGCTCCCTGGTAACTGCAGTGAGGGAACATTAGACTAGGTAAGAGTAAATGAAAGCGCGTGAAATATTTTCAATCTCGTTAGAAATGATAACACAAAGATACAAAACGGGAAAATAAAATATTATATTAAAAAATTAAATATTCACTATGGTTACATCAAAGGAGCCCTGGTGGCACAATGGTTAAGTGCTTGGCTGCTAACCAAAGGTCAGCAGTTCAAGCCCACCAGCCGCTCTGTGGAAGAAAGATGTGGCAGTCTGCTTCTGTAAAGATTTATAGCCTTGGAAACCCTCTGGGGCAGTTCTACTCTATCCTACAGGGTCGCTATGAGTTGGAGTCGACTTGATGGCAATGGGTTTGGTTTTGGTTTTGGTCACATCTAAATCGAAACAGTGATGCTGGCGAGAAAGCCAGAGAAACAGTCAGTGGTCCAGGCAGACGGTGGCCAGGATGGTCCAGGGTAGGAGGATGCCGAGTAGGGATGATGAAAGGAAGTCCCCAAGAACCAGGAGAATGGGCAGCAGAAGATCTGGACCCCTCAGGCAAAGCCACAGGAGCACTTTTAGGACTAGTGGTGGCTTTAGTCCCATCCAGAAATCCCAAGGGGTGGGCTTGAGGCCTAAACAAGAAAAGATGTTAGACTTCCTAAGATAAGAGGTGGCTTAAGCACATAGCTTAGTTAAACTTGGACTGAAGGATTGAAAATAAGAATGGCCTCATATGACCCTGAGACGCAGCGGTGGCTCAGTGGCAGAATTCTCGTCTTCCATGCAGAAGACCTGGGTTCAATTCCCTGCAAATGTACCACATGCTCAGCCAACACCCGTCTGTCAGTGGAGGCTTGCGTGTTGCGATGACGCTGAGCAGGTTTCAGCAGAGCTTCCAGGCTATGATGAACTAGGAAGAAAGGCCTGGCGATCTACTTATGGAAATCAGCCAATGAAAACTCCACGGATCACGACGGTCCGATCTGCAACTGATCGTGCAGATGGTGCAGGACGGGGCAGCATTACGCTTTGTTGTTTGTGAAGTCTTCATGAGCGGATGGCAGCTGACGCCAACAACAACAGACCCTCAAGGAGGGAGACATGAACAAGGAACTTGCAAAAGAAAAAGGACCCCAGAGAGGGACTGAAAGGGCCTGTTTAATCTAGAAATATCCAGAAGGGTCTATTTAGTCTGTAAATTTGGCCAAGCTCACCGAAGATCATGAGAACGAACTTGGAACTCTCTGATAGAACATGAGAGCAGAAATGGAGCCAAGTGATTACTCTACCCCACCCTCACCATCCCCATCTTTCAGGTGGGAAAACAGACCCAGAAAGGTGATGCCAATTGCTTGCCCTAGTGGACCTCTAGTTCACGGCAGTGCCAGGATGAGCACCGAGATCTCGTCTTCCCAGCCCCGCCATATTTACATTCCACCATGTGCTCATAGCAACTATATATCGCGGTACCCAGCATTCTCCAACCATACAGGAATTAAGCTGACAATGACTGCTTTCACTATGAAAGCATTGGAGAGTTTATTTTGAATTGGGGGAATTCAGGAAAGCTAAAAATGGGGGAAAATCAGCTGCAGCTTCAATATCTACACACAGCCTCAGGTGGCATCTTGGTGCATTTCCCTTTAGTCTTTTTGGTGGAGGACTATTCGGCTGACAACGCTATAGCACAATACACGGGGTATCTGGATTGGCTGTGTGTGGTGAGCTCTGGGAGTCGATGTCAGGTAGAGGGATGGCTTACTTAATTTAACGCCTTCAGAATCAAACAGAATACTCCGACTGTGGTGAGCAGGGCAGCATAAAATGGGACCACCTACCATCTTGGGAAGAAGCCCTGGAAGCACAACGGTTAAGCACTCGGAGGCTAACCGAAAGGTTGGCAGTTTGAATCCACCCAGCGGCTCCGTGGGAGAAAAGACCTGGGATCGTCTCCTGCAAAGATTACAGCCTAGAAAAACCCATGGGGCAGTTCTACTCTGTCACATGGAATCACCATGAGTCAGAATCAACCGGACGGCACCTAACACCACCACCATTTTGGGTGACCCAGACTCTGTATTTCTCATCACGCCGCTGAACGCGCCAGCTTTCTCCGGGAACCTCCTCACTTTTCGTTCATGTAAAGTTTGCAATCAGTCTGGCTGGATATTTTCACATGCTCTGTTCTTATGGCATGTATCTCCCCATCTGTGTTTGTGCAACTGCCTTTAAAAATTCTCGTTATTTCTGGACTGAACTGTGTCCCCCAAAATATGTATACTAAATCCTAACCTCTATCCCTGTGGGTATAACCCCATTTGGGAAGGGGTTTTCTTTGTTAAGAGGCCCTATCAGTGTAGGGTGTGTTCTAAGCCAATCACCTTTAAGATAGAAACAGAGCAGATTAGGACAGAGCTGCTGGCAGAGATGAGGGGCAGACAGATGCCATGCCTCGTGAAGACCACCACAGCTGTCAAGGAACAGAGGCTCAAAGAGACGGGACCTTCCCCCAGAGCTGACAGAGAGAGAAAGCCTTCCCCTAGAGCCAGCGCCCTGAATTCGGACTTCTAGCCTCCTGAACTGTGAGAAAATAAATTTCTTTTTGTTAAAGTCACCCACTTGTGGTATTTCTGTTATAGCAGCACTAGATGACTTAGATACTGGTAAAATTAATCTGATTGGTTGTGGTCCATTTTCACGGTTGGTGATGCTGTAGTTCTTTATTCTACAGGCTTAGCTAACACGTTGAACTTTGAGTCATCAGCCATGTAAAAAATACAATGTTTTTAGATAAATATATAATTTTTTTAGGTTTCCATCCAAGTCCTAAGGATCTTTTTTAACTCGGGGCCAAGGAAAAACCCAAAGGCTTGTCGCTAGAAACTTCTTTCCAGGTTGTCTGACGTTCAGCCATTAAGCGTGCTACAGCACATGAATGGAATCAGCTGTGACTTTATTTAATTATTCTGTCACCCTCCAACTTTTCTCTACTGTGTGCGTAGGGGACCTGGGAGAGATTTCTGGTAAACGCCTTGGTGTCTGTGGCACGCTCTTTCTCTAACAATCCAGAAACCCCATCAAAAAAGGAAATGTGATGACTTGGGCACCACACATTAGGACATTTATGCTGGTTCCTAGGGATCAAAGCAATCTTTTCTAGGGGCTCATAAATCATTTATATGATGATAATTCCAAATTTTTGCAGGGGATCGTTTCATGCATTGATAGCTTCAGGAATTCGGCTTTTTCCAAGGTTATATAGAAGACCGTTTGCATGTCTCTGGTCTTCTGCAACGTCTCCCACTCTAAAATCTACTCAACCCCCACCAGCAGTGACTCAGAGATTCTATCTGCTAACTCCTTCAACACCAAGAGACATGGTCTACTGTGGTCCAGAGATGTGAGCTCCTTCAAATTACCTAGATGCTCTTTCGTCTCCTGAATCCCTCGTAATAATGTCCTTTTCATTTTGAAGATCATTCTCTTTGACGGAGAAGTGAAAGCAAATAGTTCTTACATACCATCTAGTAACATCAGCCTCACCCCCTTATGTAAGCAATAGTCCACCTGTCTCCATTCCTCTAGCTCCAGATACAACTAAAAGACAAAAGAAATACACTATTCTTGAAATGCAAATGATACAACAAACACACTTCACACTAACACACACACGCCCAACAAGGTTCAGCCTAGCCAGGAAGGAAATTAAATTAACACAACAACAGGCAAATGTCATTTTGTAACAGCTTACGGAAAGAGACTTGTAAGTGATAAAAAGCAACGCTGGCGAGGCTGTAGGGAAATGGGCATACTCAGATACTCACCAATAACGTCACCATGTATTCGGAGAGCAAACACAGAAGATGCTGATACCCTTCATTCCAGGAACCGGACACTACCTTTAGGAACACATTCAAAAAGAAAAGAAGACCCAAGTATGCAAGTATGTCTTTAGGAGTATCATAATAGCCCCAGACTGGGGCAGTCTAAGTATCCAACAACAGGAATGGTTCAATGAACTACAGAATACCAACTAGGATAGGTCGAACAATGCCCTCACTCCCAAAGAAGCCCATGTCCTAAACCCCAGAGCCGGCAGTATGTAACCTTGGATGGTAAAAGGGACTTTGCAGATGTAATTAAGCCAAGGATCTTGTGTCTATGCTGGCAAGAAGTAAGTTGTCAAACCTAAAATCCATTGCTGATCAGTTGATTCGGACTCAGAGCGACCCCACGTGACAGAGCAGACCTGCCCTATGGGGTTTCCTAGACTGTAACGTTTACGGGAGTAAATTGCCAGGTCTTTCTCACATGGAGATACTGGGTGGGTGGGTTCAAACCGCAGACCTTCCAGTCAGCAGCCAAGCATTCAGTCACTGCACCACCAGGGCCCCTAAGTTGTCAAAAGAGATGTAAATAACCTGCTCATCTCCGCCACCTATTTATCCAGTGTCGCACGGAAGATTCCAGGAGCTGCTAGCAATTCTCCTCGGGACTAGTTTGCATGAACGGAGCTGCGATGGAGGGCGGAGCCCGGGGAGGGGAAGGTTGCCTGGAAGCAGCTGAAAGTCATTTCCATCCCTTCTCACGCCTCCTTTCATCCACATTTTTCTTTTTTTAATTCCGATGAAATACATATAACAAAACATTTGCATTTTAACTATTTTTATGTGTAAACTCAGTGAAATTAACTACGTTCACCATGTTGGACAACCATCACCACTATCCATCTCCAATCCTTTCCATCACCCTAACACAAACTCAGTGCCCCCTACGCAATACCTTGCCCTTGCCTCCTCCCACCCACCCCCAGTTACCACTAATAAACTCTGGTGTCTATATATCTGCCTATAAAATATCGCCATATTTTCAGTATGGACTACACTTCAACATAAAGAAAACAAAAATTCTCACAACTGGACTAATAAGCACCATCATGATAAATGGAGAAAAGATTGAAGTTGTCAAGGGTTTCATTTTACTTGGATCCACAATCAACGCCCATGGAAGCAGCAGTCAAGAAATCAAACGATGCATTGGATTGGGCAAATCTGCTGCAAAAGACCTCTTTAAAGTGTTAAAAAGCAAAGACGTCACTTTGAGGACTAAGGTGTGCCTGACCCAAGCTATGGTGTTTTCCATCACCTCATATGCATGGGAAAGCTGGACAATGAATAAGGCAGATCAAAGAAGAAGTGATGCCTTTGAATTATGCTGCTGGGGAAGAACACCAAACGTACCATGGACTGCCAAAAGACTGAACAAATCTATCTTAGCAGAAGTACAGCCAGAACGTTCCTTAGAAGCAAGGATGGCGAGACTACGTCTCACATCCTTTGGACATGTTATCAGGAGGGACCAGTCCCTGGAGAAGGACATCATGCTTGGTAAAGCAGAGGGTCAACGAAAGGTAAGAAGACCCTCAATGACACCATGGCTGCAACAATGAGCACAAACAGCAACGATTGTGAGGGTGGTGCAGGACCAGGCAGGGTTTCGTTCTGTTGTACACGGGGTCGCTTTGAGTCGGAACAGACTCGATGGCCCCTAACAACAACAGTGTTCTAGATATCTCACGCAAGTGGGATCACACAATATTTGTCCTTTTGTTTATGACTTATGTCATGAAGCATAATGTTTTCAAGGTTCATTCATGTTGTAGCACGTATTGGGACTTCATTTCCCTTTATCGCTGACTAATATTCCATTGTATGTATGCACCATATTTTGTTTATCTGTGCATTTGTTGGTGGACATTTTGGTTGGTTCCATCTTTTGGCTATTGTGAATAGTGCTGCAATGGACACCGCTGTACTTGTATCTGTTTACACCCTTGCTTTCAAATGGAATTGCTGGTGGTGCAGTGGTTAAGCATTCAGCTGATAACCAAAAGGGAGACAGTTCGAATCCACCAGCTGCTCCTTGGAAACCCTATGGGGCAGTTCTACTCTGTCCTAGAGGGTTGCTATGAGTTTGAATCGACTCAAAGGCAATGGGTTCTTAATGGGTTAAGGTAATTATAAAGGAGTCCTGGTGCTGCAGTGGTTAAGCACTCAGCTGCTAACCGAAAGGTCAGGGGTTCGAACTAACCAACCACTCCGTCGGAGAAAGACCTGGCAACCGGCTCCCATAAAGATTGTAGCCTAGAAAACCCTACGGGACAGTTCTTCTCTGACCTATAGGGTTGCTATGAGTCAGAACTGACTTGACAGCACCCAGCGACAACAATATGGCAATTTGATGTGAACTTTTTGAGGAACTGCCAAGCTTTTCCACAGCAATCATCCCCATTTTTTAAAAAGTTGCAATAGACCATCTAAGATACATCAGTTGGTCCCAACCCACCTGGAGCAAAGGAAAATGAAGAACACCAAAGACACAAGGAAAATATTAGCCCAAGAGACAGAAACGGCCTTATAAACCAGAGACTCCATTAGCCTGAGACCAGAAGAACTAGATGGTGCCCGGCTACCACCAATGATCGCCCTGACAAGGAACACAACAGAGAGTCCCTGATGGAGCAGGAGAAAAGTGGGGTGCAGAGCTCAAATTCTAGTAAAAAGACCAGACTTAATGGTCTGACTGAGACTGGAGGGACCCTGGAAGACATGGCCCACGGACTCTCCTGAAACCATTCCCGAAGCCAACTCTTCAGACAAAGATTAGACTGGACTATGGGACATAAAATGATACTCGTGAAGGGAGTGCCTCTTAGCTCAAGTAGATACATGAGACTAAATGGGCAGCTCCTGTCCGGAGGCGAGACGAGAAGGCAGAGAGGGTCAGGGGCTGGTTGAATGGACACGGGAAATCCAGGGTGGAAAGGAGGAGTGTGCTGTCACAGTATAGGGAGAGCAGCTAGGGTCACATAGCCATGTGTGTATAAATTTTTCTATGAGAAACTGACTTGATATGTAAACTTTCACTTAAAGCACAATTAAAAAAAAAAAGTTGCAACTGGCTTATTACAAAACACTTCCTGAAATACAGTGGAAAAGAGGCAATTTTCAAAAACAAAGGAGCAGATTCTAACATTTGGGCACTTTTTTAAGTGTAACGTTCTCTCAAGAGTAATTTAACAGCATGCGTTTGTCCTCTGCACCAGCCTACCCTCAAATCTGGACAAGACAAGGCTCACACATTACAATACCAGCCTACCCTCGAATCTGGACAGGACAAGGATCACCCACTACAGTACCAGCCTACCCTCGAATCTGGACAGGACAAGGCTCACACACTACAACCTCAAAGGTTTGAGTTGGACCCCTGAGGCTGCACTTCACCCTAAACTCCAGCCACATTCACCCTTCTCTTCATTATCTTCCCCTGACTGTGTTTCCCTGACTCCCCGAATACATTACAAATTCCCTGGGGGCAAGCCCCACTCACTGGTTTACACAATTGCCTCCCCACTCCTCACCTAACCCCCTCATTCTGAGTGTTATCCCTTGTCCCCTCAACACCTTACAAAGCGCTTTCCATATGAACAATAAAAGGAAAGAGCAGTTACTAGTTCCTAGGATCCAAATTCACTCTCAATCAATCTTGTCAAGAAGCCATTGAAGTGGCATCATTCAGCTTATTTTGCTGTTTTTGTTGGCAGGTGTTGTCGAATTGATTCCAACTCTTGGGGAACCCATGTCTACAGAGCAGAACTGCTCCATAGGGTTGTCAAGGCTGTGACCTTTCAGAAACAGATTGCCAGGCCCATCTTCCAAGGCGACTCTGGATGGGTTTGAACCACCAACCCTTCAGCTAGCTGTAGGGCACTTCACCGTTTGTGCCATCTGGAGACCACACTCTACTACTAGCCAAAAGGTTTTTGGTTCTAACCCACCCAGAGGTGACTTGGAAGACAGGCCTGGTGATCTGTTTCTGAAAGGTCACAGCCTTGAAAACCCTATGGAGCAGCTCTACTCCGCTCACATGGGGTCGCCACGAGTCGGAATAGTCTGCACCGGCACTAAGAGCAACAGCCTCGCTTTAGAAGCTGCTCTTTGCTGGGAAGACCGAGGAGCTGGACCAGCCTGGCCCTGTCCAGTGAACACAATGCAATGCCAGCTTCTCCTCTCCTCCCTTTTCCCTGCAAAACATACACATCCCACTGTTGACATCAGGGCGTCAAAAATAATATGGGAGGAACCATTATTCATAAATAGATGTTAAACTGAAATGCTCCACCTGTTAAGTACCAAGAGTTCTAGAACTGTGTCTAAGATTCTAAAGCAGTGGGTGAACACAGCACATGACCCTGGAAACCAAAGTTATCACCCACACCGAAAGGGATCCATCCGAACCAAAAAACCAAACCCACTGCCGTTGAGTCAATTCCGACTCACAGTGACCCTACAGGACTGCCCCAGAGGGTTTCCAAGGCTATAACCCTGGAGTAGCTGGTGAGTTTGAATCACTGACCTTTTGGTTAGCAGTTGAGTGCTTAACGACTGGGCCATCAGGGCTCCTTAAAGGGATCTTTAGGCTGTGCTAAAGGTAATCTTCCTTAACAGTGGGGATTACCGAGGTCATATTTACTTGTTAATGATTAAAGGACCAGTTGAGAGGAGCAGCTTTCAACAAGCATTGCAAGAAGACCAGCGTCCCATCCATCGCTGGGATAATCCTTTCTCCTGAGACCAGGAGACACCCTGGAGCACCATCTTAAAGTTTGTAAATTCAAAACAATTGTGGAATCCATTGATACTCTTCCTGTTTCCAGGCTAGTTGATCTGTATTTGTCCTTGGTGTCTACATAGAGGCTACCCACCTATTTTAAGGACCCAATGAATTCCTTGGAATTTATGGTCCTGTTCCAATACAACCTTGTGTAACAAGCTCAAGAGTTTTGTTTCTTAACAGAGTACAGGTCAAATTCCATTACAATGACTTCTATGAGCTTATCCAAA